ACTTGTCTATTGATAGAATTCAACTGTTCCTTTGTAATACTGTAATTAATAACAATAATTTATCATGTAATTTTGATAACCAGATATTTGATGCCACAAATACAACAATTGAGCGAAGGGCCTTAATCATGGAGTTTTGCTCAAACAGAGGATTCAAGGTTAGAAACATCCACTTGTGAGAGCTTGGCCACAGTTAAGTGAAGCTTGTACAAGTTTCCACTACATTCCCTGTCTACATTTCCTGCATGATTCTTCTTAGCACCTTCTATAATTATTAGTACATGCATGTCATTTAACTGCATGGGTCACTGTGTACTAACTATAGTGCAAGTAACTTACTTTACATGTATCTCCACAACTCATGACAGGTTTTATTACCATTGGGGACATATACAGTTTACATATATATGGCTGATTGTACCCTCTTGAGTATTTTGGAGTTAACTGTTCATGAATACACTGTACATGGGTCCATCAAAGGGTTATCGTACCATTACAAAGTGATCTATAATGGTGGAATGTATGTCAGCCGTAAAATGTACTGAAAGTTCATTGAAAAACCTAAGTTCTGTTTCACACTACACATTCATAGAATCCAAATTACTTTTTGACACTAGGGTTACTCTCCTTGTCCCCCAAACGTTTTAACAGCTCCACTGTTCTCCTATTCCTCCAATCCCAATGATAATTGTTACCAGAACTGCTCCTTTCCAGCTGCTCTATATTTCTTTTCTGAATTAGGAGGGAATGTAGTGTTACAGTACATCAAGATGATATTCTCCTTTTCCACCCAAAAGTTTGATTATTATTATCATTTGTTCACTGGATGATGTATAGAGATTGCTTTGAACCTGGTTTTTGGTTGATTTTCTTTGTTGTTATAAAAGCAATTATTGCTTATTATAGATATTATTAACCAAGCGCGAGGGCCGTACTGGGAGAATATCGGCCCGAGGTCTTGACAGTATGGACCGAGCGCAGTGAGGTCCGTACAAAAAAGACAGAGGGCCGATATTCTTGATGTACATGCAGTCCTGAGCAAGCTTGGTTAATGAAAGATTTATTATACGACTGAAATCTAAAGGGAAACAAGTGCGGTATCATTCGGGACCATTCAGGACAGTGCAAGGTTCAATACTTAGAGAATATTGGACGGGCTATAGAGCATTTTGATTGGTTGATTTTAGTTATTGGCCCTCTGACTGCCCAAGTCGTGTAATAAAGCCCTATATAGACCACTTTCATAAATGGCTGCCGGATTAATATTCTTTTGTTTAAATTTAAATTAGCCCTACTGGCCTCGTTCTCTGGTACAAAATTCAAAAGAATACATTATCTCAAGTAAGGCCAGAAGGGCTAATTTAAATTTAAACAAAATAATATTAATACAGCAGCCATTTATGAAAGCGGTCAATATAATTATGCATGTGTATTCTGATATTTTACTAGACACCATTTTCATTATCTCAAACACTACAGTCATGCAGTCTTTCAAACACTACCTGGAGTAATTTTTGGATAATGAAAGATTGCAAAATGCAGGCAAAAATTACTTGTAAGCAGGCAAAGGTACACTGTAATGAAAAAATGTGGATTTGTAAAATTCTATGTTTGAAGCTTCATGAGTAGTTTTCATACGTTATGACATTGTAGTCATAAAATGGATAGGCAAGTTTTTTAATTTTTTTCATTGCTTTAATTAACAGAATGATATTTTCATTTACTTCTTGAGGTGTTTTTTATGGAATCCATTTGCGAAGATTCAGATATTGTAGCAGCAAATATTAAGGTTTGTTTTGTTTGCACTTGCCCATATAAATTTTACCATGTACAACCATGACCAGAAAACACCTTTGACTATGGTTGACCATGACAGTGAAACACATTGCACTGTGATACATGTAGATCATGGTAGACCGTGGTTAACCACTGTACTGTCCAATATTATTCTAAATCAACTTGTGGTCAGCCATGATTTTAACCAAAACTGACCCTGGTTAAACATGGTTAACCATC